ACTCGTTCACATCACCCACCGCCCAGTCTAGTCCCAGTGCTGATCAAACACTGGTGGATGTGCACTTTATTTTGGGCACTCAGTTATTATACACTGAAATCTCAAATTATTAGATATTACCTTTTAAATCCCTTGTGTCTAAAGATAGATGTGAAAAAGAAACAGTGGTGTGCATCAGTCTAGTGGGTTTCTCTGGGTCTGTATCACAGAGGTAATATTAATGGTTAACTATGGACATCAGTGCACAGCAAACACACTGTAGATGTGCTACAGCAATGTCACAGAAGATTGCATTAAAAGGGCCCCCAGCAGCAATGTCAAATGTATTATGAATAGTGAAAACGATTTCTATCATAATTATCCCATAAGATCCGACCAGCGATCAATCAGTTTGTTTGTTTACATCCGTACACACTCCAACTTGTCTGGGATATGTGATCGATACCACAAAGATAGACGCCTTTGCACGGATTTCTGATTGATTGTCTGCATTTCCGAGTGAGCCTGCAACATTGGCTTATTTAAAAAATACCCATTAACGTTTTATTGCGGCTGAAGATGCGTAGGTACTGAAAAAATACTCCTACCTTCAAGCACTTCAAATATTGCCTGCGCCATCTTGTATCCCTCCTGCTCAGCGGTCGGCGTTCGATTAGCAGGGTCTGCCCCGTAGTGGTGGCGTAACGCATCGATGTTCGTAGTAGAGCCCAGCCAGAATAGTTAAACATTAACCAACACCTGAAAAAATAACCACAGTACGTTCATCTTAAGTAAAACAACATGATGTAAGCCATGGCTTCAAGTTCTTTTTATTTTCTTTTTTTCTGTGGAACATAAATACGCCTTCGAATCGATGAATCGGCGCTCTGTGACATGGACAGAACGGCTCCTAGGGCCATAAACAGTGGATCAATGAGGTCGATATGAGAATATAATGATGTGGTGCATGGATCACCAGCAGAGACATCTTTTATAGGGTTAAATACTATTCCATATCAGGTGTTCTGATTTTGTATAGGTGCATTTAAAACTACTGCAGCATTACAGAAGCTATGGCAGATTTCATTAGAAATGAAGAGCAAGAGTTTATTTTTAATCAATCACATCCTACACACATACACTGATAGTTGCCACAGTGATGTCTAGGTTTCCAGTTAATAAAACAAGAGTAGTATTTGTTGTTCCATGGTTTCCGCTGCAGTTTTTTCTTCTTTTTTTTTCAGGGGTATGAGGCAACTTTACCATTCCTGTTGGAGTGTGGTGATATTTTATATACACATCCATCAGCTGTGACCTTTAATCCCTTGAACACTGTTTATAATTCTGGATTCAGATTTATTACTTGTTATAAATACAGTACGCACCACTGTGAGCTGTATGTTAAGGTTGGATGGCCTTTTTAGATTTTTTATTCGTATTTTTTTTTTTTTTTTAATTCTCAGGGAAATTCAAGCCTCCAATTTCGCTGTATTTTGTCTTCAGTTGTTGTTGTTTTATTAATTCAGTTGTTTCAAATCCTCTAATTAATGTTTTTTATTATTTTACTTATTTGTCCTGTTATTACTGTGTCGTTATCCGGGTTTCCTGATTAAATGCTTATCGTGTTTTCTGTGCTTAACTACATTGCAAAAGAGAAGGTGCATACCTAAATGGACTCCAAGTTTGAATAAAGGTTCAGTTCATTTATTCATTCATTCATTATATCATGGTAGTACTATTATTATTACATTGTATATACACTTACAACAGCAGAATGTATATTTGTTTTGTGCTACATTTTTATTTTTATTTTATTTTCATATTAAAACTGTTTATTTTATTATATATTTTTACTTCCTACTTCTTTAAGACTTTGATTGGGAGCATCTGCAGCTAAAATCAGTTTCCTCGAGAGGATCAATAAAGTATTTCTGATTCTGATTTCTACAAAAGAATTCAAGACATGATTGTTATCCAATCATATGTTAGTATTTTAGATCGAGAGGATTGTAAATACTGGACAGACGGAGCCACACTCCGACCATTAGGTGGCGGTAATGCACCGATCCGATATTTGCCAACCGCCAATAAGCGGCCAAAGGGGAGGAAGAAGAAGCAGACGGACCGCCGTGCGCACCAATCAGAGCGCGTCAATCCCGCCCCGTGGAACGCACGGCCTTTCCACCAATGGGGATCCTCGGATCGACGCACGTGCCGGTTTCGCGGCAAAAAAGATTTCGCGCGAAAACCGTCCGAGTCTTGTTTAGATGTAGATCAGCTGAGACAATAACAACAATAAGGACCGATAAAGGGGTCGGGACGCCGCTTTTGGACACGGACTGCCCCCGGGGTGAGCACCCAGAGGACCCGCCACCGCTGTTTTAACCTGTACGCGTTTATTCGCCCGTTTTATTCGCTTATATTTCCAGTTTTATCGGAGAGCTTCCTGCGTGCCCCAACAAAACGAGGGGACTGAGCGGCTAATAACTTAGCTAGCATGCTAATCTGCCCTATATTTTAATAATCGGTCGTGCCGCTGTGCTCTCTGTCGGACTGATGCTCGCTTTCATGAACACACTCTTTACGGTGCGGGCGGGCTGCGGCGATGCCTTTTCTATTTTGGACATTTTCTTTTGATCGCTCACTTCTGTAAGCTGCCATAAAGTTTTGATAGCCGCCTAACTAAGCCTCGTCTCGGCTATAGGGAGGAGTAGTTTTGTCATACCGCCGCGGATTGCCGGTTTAGCGGCCGTTCGTGCTTGTTTAGCAACTTGTTTGTTGTTGGCTCGCGAGCTAGCTCGTTAGCCGGACTGGTAGCCGTTCGTGGCGGTGGGTCCAGGCCTCGGCGGCGGCGCTGCGCTGACAGGACACATGACAACAAAAGATTAGCTGCTCCCGTGCTAGCTCGATAACCCCCCAGAGTTCATTATTGTCAGTTTTGCGACTCGTTCTTTGACGGCACGTGGCTCAGCCTTAAGACACACAGAATGCATTTAGCAATGTTACTGCATTTGCCAAATTTCCTGTTTGGCAGAACATCCCGTCTCACTGTTTCCCTCTCAGTCTGAATTTGATGTAGCTGCCATAGTCTCCTCTCAGTTGTATCGTTAGCTCTGGTCTGATTGTTTGTTTCTGAGAGATGTCCAAACGCATAGAGAAGCCCTCCAGGAGACTGTCGTGCAGCACGTGTGAGTAGGTGCTGGTACTTGGTCAAACTATTGCGTCATAGTTTGTGGCCCTTCAACACTCCCAGATTCTTGAGAAGGGGCTCCCAGTGACACCCTGCCATGTCAGAGGCTCTGATCACAGGGCACACATCGGAGGATCTGTTGGCAGACTTTGAGACTCTACTAAACTCTGGAGGGATCGGCCTGGGCGAGGACCACCAGATAGTGATCATCACCAGCCCCAGCAATGAGGGATTCCACCCGGCAGCCGCCCCAACCAGCACAGGGGAAATCCTGCTGTTCGCCACCCCGCAGGGCCCCGCTGACGTGGGCATCCAGGACAAGAGACGACCGGCACTGGGAAGACCTCCGGTGAGGAGAAGGGGGGACGGTGTGGGACAAAGGGTGGGAGGTGGAGAAAGTGGTGAAAGGGGAAGTGGTTAGCTGAGGAGTTCTCCTTTAACATGGAGCCTCTGTGGGTCGACCCACCTGTTGCTTTAACAGTGAAAACCCATTTCATTGTGTTTTGTGTGTATTCAGAACTTGAAGAGCCTCCCAGCTTTACAAGCCACAGATTTATTTATTTAAAGTCTACATAGAAACTGAGGAGCCGGTATTCATCCTGTGTCTTCTGCTACATCTCGGTACACCAGGTTTAATTACTCTCTAGAGCTGCTTCTGTCGACTCTAAAACGTTTCAGCCGCAAGCGAAGCTCAGCAGATGTTCTGTTGACGGCTACAAGACGGAACACAAGAGTCTTCAGGCACTCCCAGCATCCTGAGGACATGAAGACTCAGCGTGTTATTGTATTTTTAAAGCAGCACAACGATAGGAACATGTGTGGTGTTAGAACTTTGTGTCTCTAGTCTGGAGGATGTTACCGTAAATTTTGACCATTTATATAAATTGTAAGAATTCAGAAAACTTGTTGAAAACTTTTGAGAGTGATTTGAAACCAAAAAGCAAGGACACAAACAGGGAAACTACAGTTAATAGATAGAATCATCTAATATTTGCATACATCAAGTAAAAGCAGAATAAAATGAATATCATCGTCTAATGTCACGAGTCCAAAGACATGGCACTTTAGGAAAAAAAAACAATTATTTTACTTATTAATTAACCTGATTGAAGCCAGAACAAATTAATTTTTAAACCTGTTTTTTTTTTTCTCTAATCAGACGACAGAACAAGTGTGAGACAGTGACTGAAGCACGATTACGTTATTGACCTGTTACAGTTTAAAACATGCACATTTATTACGTTATTGTCCAGTTATTACATGATTGGCCTCTACAGGGTTTCTCTCTGGGTTTCACTTTCCCTTCTTATCACACGCCTAACACACGGCTGTAGCAACACGCAGCGTGTTATCGTGGTGTAACGGGGTCTTTTCTTCCTTCACCAACCATCTCATCAGGTCAAGAGGAAGCTGGACCTGGACAGCGACCATCAGTACGTCAGCACCACCCGACCGTCCACAGGCCAAGCGCCGCCCTCCACACCTGCACCTCCCAGAGGTACACAGCCACCCTGAATTCACCCATTCACCCATTCAGCCATGCATTCATCTCCCTGTGTGATCCACGCACTCTCTGACCTTTGCTCCAGCTGTCATTGTTCTAAAAACAGCTGTGCCTTTATCAGCACAGACAACAGCCTCCATCAGGCTGACTAGAACGAGAAATAATGAGAACTATTGGAGAGAAAGGTGCTTTTTAAGAGTAAAGGAAGACAAAGGACAATGATAATAGTTAATAAAGTGAAACAGTTTTCTCCGTCCTGTTGCTTTTGTTCAGTTGTTGCAGTTAAAAGCATCCATCCATCCATTTTCTTTCTTTCTTTCTTTTTTTTTTTTAAAGGTATTTTTTGGCCTTTTTGCCTTTATTAGATAGGACAGTTGAGCAAGAGACAGGAAAGTGGGGGAGGAGAATGGGGGGGAAGGGGTTGCAGCAAAGGGCCATGAGCGGGATTTGAACCCATGACTGCTGCATCAGGGACTACAGCCCCTGTACACGGGTCACCAGCTCAACCAGGTGAGCTGTAGCGGTGGCCAATCCACACATTTTCTAGACACCGCTTAAACCTCATTATGGTCGCAGGGTTTTTGTTGGATTTAATTTGTTTAAAGACACATTTGAGGCGTCTTTCACCTGCTGCCACAAAAAAAATCATCTGTAAATTCATGTCTTATGAAATCAGGTCAATACAAAGCGGACTTGGTCATAGAAGACGTGACGAGGTTGATTTTTTTGGGAGTTTAAATGCACCAGATTCCCTGAAGGTGCAGTGAAAGTGAAAGTGAGAAGTTCAGCTGAGTAAAGTTTAGATTAGAAACACAAGAGACTGAAGAACAGCAGTAAAGATAAACTTTATTGATCCCACAGCGGGGAAAGTTCACCGACGTGTACCTGAATGAGCCAGATATGTTTCATACAGGTAGTACACTATGATAATTAAAATATTAAAGGGATTAAAAAAGGAAATAGAGTCCTGGTCACACAAAACTCTTTGCTGTGAGCAGAAGAGAATCATGCTTGTATAATTTCACTTCCCTCAAAGAAGAGTCTCAGCACCATTAGTGAGAGATAGAGATAGTTTTTGCTGGATGGTTCAGATATTTAATACTGGAGGACTGCTGTCTAGGATGCAAATGAACCAGAACATGAACTAAATCTGGCTTCCATGTCAAGTGTTTGATTTAAAATTTAAAAAATCAGTTATTGCAGTTTTTCTACCCAGATCGGATCTCTCTCAGCTTTCTCCAGGCCAAGCAGGATAAACCTCTAATCTTTCAGTCAGGACAGATAGGCTGGTCCTCTTAACTGTTGTGTGTCATTTAATGTGAGTCCTTGTAAAGGTGTGGCTGCCCAGCGTGATCACAAACAGGATATTTAAAGTCTTATGTGCTCCTTTCCCATCAAGTTCCTCGGACCACGACGGAGAAGTCGCGCTACGACACTTCGCTGAACCTGACGACCAAGCGCTTTCTGAACCTGCTGTCCCAGTCTGCCGACGGAGTGGTGGACCTGAACTGGGCCTCGCAGGTGCTGGACGTCCAGAAGAGGCGGATCTATGACATAACCAACGTCCTGGAGGGAATCCAGCTCATCTCCAAGAAGTCCAAGAACAACATCCAGTGGCTGTGAGTATAAATGAGCTAAAATCACATCCTGGATGCCCAGCGTTAGAGCAGTACAACGTTTAATACTTCTTTTAAATAAATAAACCACTTTCTCTCTTTCCATTCTTCTCCCTCTCAGTGGTAATCGGATCGATGCAGCGCTGGTTTCCCGCCACAAGGAGCTGCAGAGGGAGGTGTGTGACCTCACGGAGGCCGAGGAGCAGCTGGACGAGCTCATTTCCAAATGCAACCTCCAGCTCCGAATGCTCACAGAGGACCCACAGAACAAGAAATATCCTTCTAACCGGTACCAGGTGTTGGGATTAGTGGTGCTCGTAGCTGCCACATGCTGACTCACCAAAAGTTGTTCTCCCGAGATGAGCTCCAGCTGAATGGATGGAAAGTGATTCTAGCAGCACCAGTGGGGCTGAACTGTGTCACAGATTTAACTTAAAGGTTTATATTTTTCTCACATAGTGTTTTGTGGCCCAGGACAGGACTGTTGCAGCTGCTTGGTGGTCACACCAGGAACTTTAATGTGTCTGAAGATCCTCAGTCATCCAGGTCATCATTCTTCTCGTAGATTAGTCATAGCAGCTGGACCTGCTTGAGTTCCTTGAAGATGTTTCATCCAAGAGGCTTCATCAGTTCTGACTGACTAGTTGGGAAGCCACAAAAGACCCTAACGAACCCCACTGTGTCAGGAGGAGCACTAACGACCCACATAACGAGGGGGAGGAGCAACAAACCCCCAGTTGAAAGCGTAACTCAGGTGTTAATGACTCCTTCAGGATATCAGTATGTGGAACTCACAACTAGTCAGTCAGAGCTGATGAAGCCTCTTGGATGAAGGTGAAACGTCTTCAAGGAACTCAAGCAGGTCCAGTTGCTACAATTAAACTACGAGGACGGGACTCAAACCCAAACTATGTTCGACCGTCCGGTTGTTAACTAAATAAATGTAAACAGAAAGACGGTTCATGCGCCTGCATTGTGTTCCTTAATAGTTGCCTCCATCACACTGGGCTATGTGCGCTGCCAGGACTTGAGGCAGTCCTTCGATTCCCCGGACCAGCTGGTCATGGTGATCAGAGCTCCTCCAGAAACCCAGATGCAGGTTTCAGAACCCAGCGAGGTACTGAGCTTGACGACAGCAGCGTGAAAAGTGCTTTGTTTGTCGTCGTTGTGTTTGTTTTCACCTAACTGCACATTTTGTCTTCGTCTCCCAGGGTTACCAGGTGTCGCTGAAGAGCACGCGAGGTCCCATCGACGTCTTCCTCTGTCCAGACGACAGCTCAGGTGTCTGCAGCCCCGTGACAGGAAGCAGTCCTTCAAAGCCCTCCGCTGACCCCTCCCTCGTCCCGCCTCCTGCACCGACCACAGACCAATCGCAACCCAAACCCTGCACCCCAGAAGTAGCTTTATCGTCACCAGCGTCCACGTCGTCCACAGTGACAGCAGCCTCCCAGCAGGACCCGTCGGCGCTGGTGTTGGGTGGTGACACAGGTAGGCGTCGGCGTGATCCACGTCTTTCTATGCTGAGTTGAAAGGGAGCTATAGAAAGTTGGAGAACAGCAGCTTTAGTTCAGTTAATAAGGATTAATAATGGAAACAAGCTCCTCCTCCATCTGCATGCTTCATACGTTCCAAACATCCAGATCATTCATGATTTTATGGCATTCTAACCATCTGTGATCCTCTCAGTCATGCGGTGTCCTTTTTATTTCCTGTGGCAGAGTCGCTGCTGGGTGGCGACCCGTTCTCCAGCCTCGGAGATTTACCCGACTTCGACTTCTCGCCCCTCTCCTCCTCGGACTTCTTGAACGGAGAGGGCCTGGCACTCCCGTTGGACGGTTTCATCAACCTGTCCCCCCCTCAGAGTCACGACTACCACTTTGGACTGGAAGACCACGAGGGCATCAGCGAACTGTTCGATTGTGACTTTGGGGATCTGTCGCAAGTTTTGGGGGAAGGATTGGAAGAAAAAGAAGAAGAAGAAGAGGAGGCACTCGCAGGCAAATCATTCTCTCTGTAGAACTTTACCTCTGTCTATCGGGGCTTCTAAAGGAGGGCTGAAAATCAACGTTTTATGGACACGCGTTTAATGTTTTAAATGTTGGGTTTGGGGAGTTGTTTTGTGTAGTAATTTCCAGTGATCGCCACCCCGACTATCAAAGTTCCCCCCAGACTGTGCAGCACATGATTAGCACTTCTCTTTGGCCATTTGAAAATGTCAGACCAAGCCTTGAGCTTTAGTTTAGCTATTTAAATTATTTATATGAATGTTATTTTGTACCAAGTGGGGTTTTGACGTTGTTGATGATATTTTATTCCAGAGGATTATGCAGGTGTTTCGTGTGTGTGTGTGCGGTTTTCAGACTCTTGGGGCTGGTTTCCTTCACGCTGATGGACAGACGTGCTGCGGCTGAGACGACTCGGTCTGAAGTGTTTTCTGCAAAAGAAAAAAATGGCCGCTGACTCTTTCAGCGGCAGTAAAGATTCAGGGATGAGGTTTCCAAAAGCATCTTAGAGCTCTGGTGCAGTTTCACATAAGTTCAATATGTGATGTAAGCACAAAACAGGGCGGCACGGTGGAACAGTGGTTAACACTGTTCGCCTCGCAGCTAGAGGGTCGCCGGTTCGCATCCCAGTGAGGGCACCCGGGATCTTTCTCCATGTTCTCCGGGTTCTCCGGCTTCCTCCCACAGTCCAGAAACATGCTGAGGTTAATTGGTGATTGTAAATTGTCCGTAGGTGTGAATGTGAGTGTGCTTGGTTGTCTGTCTCTAAGTGTAGCCCTGTGATAGACTGGTTACCTGTCCAGGTGAACCTGCCTTCACCCTGAGTCAGCTGGGATAGACTCCAGCCCCCCTAGTGAGGATGAAGGTGTAGAGATGATGGATGGACACTGGAACTGTAAAAAACAAAAACTGGATCCTGTAACCGACTGTGACGTCCTAATCCTCAGTGAATTAACAAGTTTGCAGTCGGTGAGTTTGAATTTATTTTTCGTGGGTTGAACGCAAACTAAGATGCTTTTGGCAAACTGGAACGTCACCTTTCTTTACATAAAAGCTGACCAGCTGACCCTCTCTTGTGGAAAACACGTCAGTCCTGATGATGCCGCCCACGTGCTCACGGGTGGCTCTGAAAGAAAAGCCGTTCCAGTCTTAGTAGCCTCGATGTTTTATGAATGTGTCGGAAACCAGGTGAGAATAGACTGCTGCAGTGATGCAAGCAGGTACAAACTAATACGGAGTATGTTCTTTATTGGTTAGCTAGGCGTTTAGCCATAGTCTCAGGTGTTCAGAGCAAAGTCTTAAAAATCAGTGATTCTGATGCAAACATGTGTGCGAGTGTTCTAGATTAGCTTCGTGCAGGTTCATAATAGACTCTTAAAGTTGTGTGTTTTACATTTGTCGGCCTTTTTTTTCCCGATCCTCACAAACTTCACTCGTCACAACGGGGGGATTAAAGCACAGCCGGATCGTCGTAGAGCAGCGTTGGCTTTAGGAAGGGTTCGGTGGAAGAGACGGGACGTCCGGTTCTTGTCCTGTATATGCACTTCAAGTCAGTTCACAGAGTTCATGTTCATGCCTTAAATCAGTGACTTATCAGGTGAAGGATCAGTTCTTCTTCTGGTTTTTTGTGTCGACCTTCTGTGGTCACGTCGGGCTTCATGTGGCCTGGTTGTGTGTCAGCTCGTTGGTTTTCAGCAGCAATAACCGCCATTTTCCACATTCCAGTAATATAAAACACTGTCCTGCTATGTGTTGTGTGTTAATCTGTTCTTCTCATCCTAAATTATGTAAAAAAAATTACGTAAGCTAACATGTTTTTGGGTTCTTTTTTGGCATTCCTCAAGTATTGGATTTCAATGTGTGTGTGTGTGAAAAATGCAAATAGTTTTGTTGAATTTCATATTTATTTAAAACACAAAAAAGAAAAAAAATTGGGTTTATTGGAGAAAAAAAAATGGTACAGAAATGTCCATTGGTTTTGTGGCAGGAAGGGACGTTTCTTGTGTAAATCCGTGTAAATCATGAGCGATTTAGTGGTGAAGCGAAGTGTTTTCTTTGTAAATTAGCTTCTTACTTGTGGCCCATTTCTATTTTGCCATTTTTTGTTTGTGTATTTTTCCATCTCAACCTGTCATGGTCCATTTGCAAACCTTTGCATCGGCAAATGATGCCAAAATGAAGAGAATCATCTTCAAAAATCTAATATTTTTTTGCCATTTTGAGCAAACTGACCAACAGTAATATTCGTCTAGCTGTCTCTGTCACAAACACATTGTCGTCGTGTTGCAGGCAACATTGCTTATCTGAGGTTGGGTTATTTTGCAGACTCTCTGAACATGTAAAGGCCTCCTAACTACTGTCATGTTATCGTTTCTGTTATCTTCAGCGCTGTGCAAACCTTAAAATCCAGCGTACACCTTCAGCAGCAGTCTGACGGCGACGTTATAAGCCATTGGAACGTCAGGCTCCTTCTATAACTCGTGTAACTTGAACATATTCCATATTTCGTCTCTGTCCTACTGACTCTGTTCGTCTTCGTTCCCTGCAGGACAAACGCAGTGCCTTGCCGAGGTAGAATATGGAGTATTTCTACGTTTTCATACCTGGCTTTCTTTTTGTTGTGCCGTCATGGTCATGCATGATTTGTTTTTGTTTGTTTTTTTTGTGCAGCATTTGTGGAGTTTTGTTTGAAAAAGTTTGCACCTTCAGCATCTTCTGGAAATGTAGGACTCAAAGAAATGAAATGTTGTGATTTTCTCACATAATGGACCAGGTCAGGGTTGGATTCATGACATTTGATCAAAGCCTAATAACACTATAAATATGTTCATTTTCAAACATGCTTTTCCTTTTTTTTTTTTTTTTTGTCTGTTATGATGTAAAACGAAATATGCTGACCTGCCATAAACCTGCTGTGGTTTTTTTCCAGTATGAAAGTGAAGGAAGTGGGCGTACTGGGGCTTATCCTGCAACTTAACAATCACACTTTTCCAAATATATTTTTTTTCCCCGTAAAATTCTGGTTTAATAAAATACAGGTTGTGAATGACTGACGGGATCCAATGTCTTTTTGTATCAAACTTTCTTTGACAGTAATTAAAGTTAAATATTTTGACCCATCTTGTCTTTGTGGCGTCTAAAGAGGAAGCTCACACCAGAAATAATACGACACTGAACCATCTGCATCCATTTCTCTTGGCTTCAGAGTGCTGATTGTTAGAATGTGGACCTTTCAGTTTTCAGGGCACTAAACTGGTTCAGTCAGACAGATTCCAGTTTGTTCATGTTCATGGTGAGTTATTTATGGCGTTCCACAGGGCTCTGTGTTAGGACCTATATTATTTACGTTGCACATGCTCCCCTTGGGCGATATTAGGAAATGCTGACTATCGTTATGCAGATGACACCCAGCTATATTTAATCAAACTCCAGGCATGTCTTAAGGACATAAAGTCCTGGATGACTTGTAATTTTCTTCATTTAATTTCAGATAAAACTACCCAAAGCACTTCAGAAAGACACTATCTAACCCGATAATAACACTGGATGGCATCGCCTTGGCCTCCAGTTCTGCTGTAGGGAACCTTGGAGTTATTTATGACCAGGACATGTCCTTCAATAGCCGTATCCTGTCTCAGAGTGACGCTGACACACTAGTCCATGCATTTATAACTTCTAGGCTGGACTATTGGAATTCCTTATTGTCAGGATGTCCCAATAACTCTCTAAAAAACTGATCCAAAATGCTGCAGCCAGGGTTCTGACAGGAACCAGTAACACAGATCATATTTCTGCTGCATTAACTTCTCTTCAGTGGCTCCCTGTAAAATCCAGGATAGAATTTAAAATCCTGCTTCTAATACGTTAAACTCTCAATGACCAGCTCCATCTTATCTTATAGACCTTATTGTACCGTATCATCCTAGCAGAGCCCTTTGCTCTCAGACTGCAGGTCTACTTGTGGTTCCAGAGTCTCCAGAACCAGAACGGGAGCCTTCAGTAGTTTCCTTCCAGGGATGAATTGAGTATCAGTCATGATACTGACTGACTCTGAACATGTCGATATTCTTGCAGTAAGATGGGAGATCTTACTTTCAACACACTGTTCTATGCTGTAATCAGCCAGACAAAAACAGCTACAGGTAAATGACACCTTACAGTTGAAATGATTAAACAGAAGAATGACTGAAGATAACACGTTTAGAGGTCAGTAGCTCATGTTCCATTAATATTTATCACATTACAGTAAAGGTAATCTAACCGCTGCAGCTAGAGGGAGCCCTCAGCCGGTACAATGTTAAAATGGCAGCTGCTGGCAAGAAATAAAGGAAAGAGAGACATTTATCAGTCACTTACAACACCTTTCCAGAGAAAATGTTTTGTTTGTTAGTTTGTAATATTGTGGTCCAACAATCAAACGTGTTCATAGCTGTTCTGAATGGTGCAAAGCTTATGGGAGCAATGGGGGAGACGCACTATTGGTCAGATATAGAGGTATGAGCTCCTGTTTTCAGCTGAATCTCCGGGATGATAATCACAGCGTTGCCCTAAGGTGTGGGAAGTGACAGGATTAGTGGTGTATAAGACAAAAGAGAGAGAAAGACTCTTGTTTATTACACTAAAATGAAGCTAAATTGGCTTTTTGTCAGTGGAAATGCAAACCAACAGAAACAAAGACAATTGGCTGTGTTGTTAAATTTGGTGCTGACTGTCTGACTGACTTGATCAGTGGGTCCAAGTCGAGGGAAAACCAGGACATAACATGAGTTTATGTCCCACTCTTTCCACTCCCAACAAGGGCCATCCGTCCATCCATTATCTCTACACCGCTTCATCCTCAGTAGGGTCATGAGGGGCGGAGTCTATCCCAGCTGACTCAGGGTGAAGGCAGGTTCACCTGGACATTCAAACATATTTACAAAAACGGATCTACATTTTCAAAAATAACATCGTTCACACCAGATTGTTTAAAAAAAAAAAAAAAAAAATTCGTTTACACAAACCTGCATAAACACATCGCTAAGAGCTGCTATGAGCTGCCAGACCTATAGGGGGCAGTGTAATGAGAAGCATACAGCCACGCTAGCCAATCAGAAGGAAGCAAGGAAGGCCAGTTAAAGACAAATAATCTTACTTGCATGTGAGTTTATTTTTCTACAGTTTGAGCAGAACTATAAAACATACAAAAAAAACGTTTCGCCCTAAAACTTTTCTCACTCCCAAAAAAACTACGATCAAACAAAGGACAGGCCTCGAGCCTTTGCTTCGAAACAAAACAAGAAAAAAAACACAATGAAAGGGATGCTAACTCTACACCTCAGTGTTAACAGTGCATAAATATAGTGTATATTTACAATAAGTCACTCTACTATTTATTTGTTCACTGTTTAACAAAAAACTCTCTCTCGAAGGTCACAAGTTATAAGTTCAGACTTTCTATTGAAACTACTCAGCACCATTAACACAATTGAGTCACACGACAGGCTTCTTCATTGTGGGTTTCTGTTGGTTTAAAAAGGCCGCTCACTTCTGCTGGTCCAATCCTGGAGCGGCAGGGCCTCCACATAAACCAATGGGAGAGCTCCACCTGTTCTTTCCACCTGGGAAAGAAAAGAAAGCTTCGTCTGCCATATTAACAAAATATCCCCGTGTCCATCGTATTCTTTACAGACGATTTTTGTTAGATTAGTATGTTTAAATCATTACTGTTGCAGACAATTTAAAACCCTGTGCTGGATAGTTAATTATACGTGTGCCAAGGCCGTGGCACAGCCTGTATTAAATCATTCACAAAGAAAGTATTTAATTATGTACCATCATGTTTTTACACAAGTGAATTATACCCCAAACTTGACAAACTTCACATCTTTGCTTCATTAAAAAAAAAAAGGCCATAATAAAAAAGTAAAAAGCAGACTTTTTGCATGTCTTGGTGCAAACAAAGAAAATAACAACAACATGTACTATTGTGTTTGATTGATCTACATTTACAATACAGGTGTTTCCTCTGGAGATTTTTGAGATGATGGATTCTTCAGCATGAGGCCGGCGTGACCGACACTCTGTGGAAGCTCCTGCACACAACGTGGGGGCTGTTGCTGTGCGAGAACGTGGCCATGAGCAGCTTAGTTCCAGGTGAGGAGGCCATGATGGACACTGTCTTCTCTATCTTCTCTCCAGGCTGCAGCAGAACCAACCTGGGAGATATACAAGAGGAACTTTTATCTCCAGAGCCCTGAAACAGTGAAAAGTCCAACATTTTGAACAGGTTCTCATAGCAGACACTGAATAATAGGAGATTTATTTCTGTCCCACAGCACAAAATTATCCCAATATATCTGAGTGCAGCTATCGATTAACACCACCAATTATTCAAAGAATCCTTTTGCCAGGTACAAACACGTTCCACAACTCACTTCTGCTCTTTTTCAAGGCAAAAACAAACACGTAAAAAAAAATAACAAAGGCCACAGCGGTTGTGGTGATGGTGATGTATTACCCCTTAACGAGGTGTTTCTGCTGAATCTGTAGCTTCTTCCCCTCCAGGGGGAAACTTTTGTGCCAATAACAAGCTCCAGTGGTTTCAGAGGAAGAGTGAGGAAGGAGGTCAAACTAGCAAATGATGACTTTAAAAGTTTCCCTCGCAAAGTTTGTCCAGTTATAAGTCCACGACAGGGAAGGAAAGGAAACCAGGAGAGAGAACGGGAGACGAGGATTAAGCCTCAATGTGGACATACTGGTGCACAAAAAGTTGGAGATACTGAAAAATGTAATGACAATATGGCTTCTAATCATGAGGCAGACGGACACGGACAAAACCTCAGTTAATGACGAGTTGCGTTTTGGCCCAAAAAGGTGAACTGAAATGCTTTTTATTAATATAATTGGTCAGATGCAGTAACAACGTTTGACGCTGTATGAAGACATGAGGTCAGCTGTGGATTTAAGGAATTATTTTAGGCAGGGGTGTCCAGTCCTGGTCCTCAAGAGCCACAGTCCTGCATGTCTTCCTTCTTCCATCACACCTGATTCAAATGATCAGGCTCGTTATCAGGCTTCTGCAGAGCTTGATGATGAGCTGATCATTTGAATCAGGTGTGTTGGAAGAGGGAAACATCTAGAACATGCAGGACTGTGACCCTCGAGGACCAGGATTGGAGACCCCTGATTTAAGGTTTATCCATAATAAATAATAAAGAAAATGTGCATATCTGAAAAACAAGAGTTTTCCACTTTGCACTGTTTTCTTTTAACCCTTAAAAACAGGATTAAAATAAAAACTTCACCCTCTGAATGTCAAAACCCAACAGCCGAGAGCAGAAAACGTCAGCTGAATATCTGCAGTATGGAGGGGAACTAGTTTTATTCAGTCTTGCAAAACCCTTGGAAACATGCTTTTCTTTCCTCAATAAATAATTAAAGATATTACTGTTTTTTTTTTTACAGCACAGAAGACATGTTTGAGTTGTTTCTACTTCCAGACATGGTCGTGCTGTTTCGAAACCCCAGCAGTAAAAATAAAAACAAAAAAAACCTCAGAAGCCTTTTGGGGTTCAGAGGATTATTTATTTATTCATTGATTTGTTTATTTTCTAAATGAGGGAAAGTAAAAACAGTGAATCCATCCCCTGAGGGCAGCGGCAGCACGCTCTGACCACACAGTTATGGGAGACGACTGCTTGTGACAACGTTTTGTTCCCGCTTGTTGCAAACACATACCGGACAGCATTCCCAGACCACATTCCTCTGACACATAAACCACAACCCATGTTTCCTCCTCGGCTCAAACATGAAGGAAAGATGTGTGTGACGCCACAGGAATGTGACCACGGGCCTGATTGTGTCAGTAACAGCAACCAGAAATATCACCTGAGCACGATGATTTGTTGTGTCTCTTAAAGTCCACCTGTTTGCACACCAACCTGGCCTCCTGCTTGCCCTGCAACAAGCCGGATCCCTCCACCGTCAGCACAGCTCCAGGCAGGGAGCTGATGAACAGGTTGCTGAAGGACACCTGGGCCGTGTGCTGCTTCTTTATCTGGATGCTGTCGCCTCCTTCGATCTGTGGAGCACATTTACATCCTCTGTTCACTTGAGTATGAACTCCTGAGCTCTACGTGAACACCTCAGCCCGTATTGTACTGAGTGTTTGTCAAATGTTATGCTCTGAACAAAAAACAATTAAATGTCTATAGAGTAATAAGTATTGTGAATGAGTCCAGACTATTATTTGAAAGCAGCATGAGAGGCTTCGACATGAAATGAAAATACAAGCCCATGTTTGTGCACAAACATTTGTGGGTCCACTTTTCCATCCATCCATCATCTCTACACCTTCATCCTCACCAGGGTCATGGGGGGCTGGAGTCTATCCCAGCTGACTCAGGGTGAAGGCAGGTTCACCTGGACAGGTAACCAGTCTATCACAGGGCTACACTTAGAGACAGACAACCAAGCACACTCACATTCACACCTACGGCCAATTTAGAATCACCAATTAACCTCAGCATGTTTGTGGACTGTGGGAGGAAGCCGGAGAACCCGGAGAGAACCCACGCTGCAAGGGGAGAACATGGAGACTCCACACCAGAGGTGTCCAATCCTGGTCCTCGAGAGCCACAATCAAGCATGTTTTAGATGTTTCCTTCTTCCAACACACCTGATTCAAATGATCAGGATCATTATCAGGCTTCTGCAGAACTTGATGATGAGCTGATCATTTGAATCAGGTGTGTTGGAAGAGGGAAACATCTAAAACATGCTGGATAGGGGCTCTCGAGGACCAGGATTGGCCACCCCTGAAAGATCCCAGGTGTCCTCACTGGGATGCGAACTGGCAACCTTCTAGCTGCAAGGCGACGGTGCTAACCACCGAGCCACCTTGCAGCCCACTGACAAACATATACAACACTTTAACAACAGTAATAATAATAATGCTGTACCTCTATGGTTATCCACGGTGAGCTGATGCTGAACTCTTGTGCAGCCAGGACTCTTTCTTTGGTCCTCATGTCCTTTATCACCACTGCCACATTCACAATATCCTCACCTGCCAGGACCGACTCATAGTCACAATGAGGGATGATGTGGTGCAGCGTCAGCACTGCAGTGAATCATGTGGAGAAATGAGCAAAGACAAACACAACAGATCAAACAGACGGAGCAATAAATCTGTAGACGTTCAACAGGAATGTACAGGAACTGTCACCAGGTCAGTTGAATAAATAATACAAAAAAAATCAATCCTATCAAATCCAGTGATCTGCACACGTTTCCTCTGTATGTGGATCATCACCTTCACAGGGCTGCATGTGCACCTCTTTGTGTGTCTTCCAGAAGCTCTCCTGTGGGCTGCTGTTGTACTCTTTCAGCTGAGCGTCGACGTGCTCCATCAGGATCCTGCGGCTGCTTGACTGGTTGGTGATCGTCACACTCATGCGGATGCTCTCTCCCAGTGACGGCACTCCATCTATTTCTAGGGACACCTCCAGACTTGGTGATGTTTCTCCTGGAGAAGATGCACACATTGGTTAAGGTAAGAAATATGCTACTGCTGTTGGAGACAGTGGTTCTTGGGCTAAACGTGTCTGGAGACCTCCCTCCAATTAGTTACTTTAGTTGAATAATAATAACTGATCAGGTTTATATCGCACTTTTCTAGCCACTCAAAAACACTTCACACTATCAGTTATTCACTGACACACATCCATCCCGGTGGTGGTGGCCACAACAACTTTAACTACCTTTGTCTTCCCAGTTTTGCCATGTTTCTCTTCATTGTCACATTTAGGTTACATAAAAAAAAAAAAATCACATATTTAAATTTGCGCAGGAAGGGGTTTGGACATGAAGTGTTTGCCTTACAGCCACTCACCATGCAGGCTCCTCGGCTTTACAATAAGTGGGACATTCCTCTCTGAAAAAAATGAACAAAAAACAGTGTGAAAGGATTAATAGGACAGGTAGAGAGCAGTGATAAGAGTTCTCCTCTGTGATGAGTGTGAAGATGATGGTTTACCCAAACACCGTCCTCCCACTGGGCTTCTTCCAGAGCCTGCTGGTTGCCCTCCTGAGAACAGAAGGAAAACAAAAACTTCATCACAGACAAAGACAAAAAAAACCCACATTTGTGAGCCGTGTTGACTTTTTTCATGATACAAATCGGTTGCTTTTTACAGACGACACATTAAACTCTCAGTAATCTCTTTCTCTCATTCAAGTCTCACAGATAAAACAAGATCTCGTACTTTTCTTGCCCTTGTATGTCTGCGTCAGATTCTCTGGTCTGTCTGAGCCCAGGCTTTTGGTGCAGATCAGCTGTCCCACCCACTCAGTGTCCACCGTCCTTCCCACCACCCGTCCATCGCGCACAATGAGCCGTATGACGTCAGCATCAACGGAGGCGTAGATGAACGAGGTGTCATGAGGGGCGCCGAAGCAACGTAGCTGGACGGCCGCTACAGGGCTCGGACCACAGCGGAACAACCCTGACAACAAACACACGTTACAGATCAGCCTCCTGCTTTCTGTGACAGTTACACGAGAAGGAAACTCTCATGAAACACTGTGTGCAGAACAACAGTTGAATCCATATAATCAACAGCACCATGTTGGAGCTCACTTTGGGCAGGAACCAACCTGCACTCCTCTCCTGGGGCGTTGGGTCCACGACCTGCCAGCCGTCAAACCCTGCACCGAGGTCCGGTCTCCTCATCCAGCACTCCACCCACACATGGAAGTTCCTGCAAGACATCACACAGGAACTGATGCACACATATACACAGACTTTATGGATGGACGTGCATGGATATTCAAGCTGTCGAGATTAATGACAGACATAAAGACCTGTTGACACTGAGGCACA